GCTAGAAACGTATAAATATCTTACTAAACGAAGGTAGCGACTCGTCGTTACTATTATCGGTAGCGTTATACTTTATAGTAGTATTAACCTGCTCTTTACTCTCCTATCGAATTTAGTATTAGACTTTATCTACTAACGTTTATACGGAAAGATAGTATATATACTTCTAAGGTCGGCTCTACTTTAACTACTAGCTTTAATTCTACCTTAACTTCTTACTTTACCTTCTTCTTCTTCTTCTAAAAGCCCTTACTCTTTAGAGTAGTAGTAGCCTTAGTAAGATTTGCGTTAACCTCGGCCTTATATAATAGGTTATCCGTAGGCTACGATATAGAACGTCTCTTAAAGATAAGGAACACCTTATATTACTTTCGAGATAGCTAGCCCTTTATATTAATATCGTTTAGGAAGATACGACTTAGCTTCCTATCTTTAAAGTCTGTATTTAGAGGTTAAATAGGCCTATCTCGGTTATTATATAACTACGTAATATATATATAGGTGTTATCCGGATATTCTATCTCCTTAGTAATATACGGTTTATTACCGAAGCTACGAATAGTAGCTACTATGTCTTTAATATTACAATCCGGTACCGCGATATCCTTAGGCGTTCCTATATTCTATTAGCGATTAATTATACGGCGGTATAGACAAATATAATAATAATATATAATATATATAGTATACTTAGAGAACCCCTTACCTTTCTTTAACCTACTCTACTTTAGTATCTTATYTAGATTATCTAGGGCAATATAGTATCTTGTAATAATAATTGTAATAATAAACCTAACTTATACGGTTGCTATTATAGAGATAGCCTTTATAATACTATCCTTCGACCGTTAGCTAGGGGGTAGATTACCTATATAGTACTTATGCTTCGGTAGATTTATTGCCGCTTCCTTTTCGATCTTAATCTATCGTATATAAGTTGTCTTTATACTAGTAAGCTGCGCTTTATCTAGGAGGCTCCTACTAATATGTCCGTTAAGAACCTCGTCGTCTAATATCTCGCTTTTATTAGAGTTAATAATAATTAGTATAGTGCTTAAGGATAGCGTATTCGTCCGTAGCGGCATTAGTATCGCCCGTATAATCGGTTTATTCGAAGGTGCCGGCGGTATTAGGTTATAATCGCCGTAGAAGTAACATTTCTTATTATCTAGTATATACTTTATATAGTCGAATTAGGGCCGAGTAGGGTATATACGCTTCTATACTTTCTTTACTTGCTTCTTAGAACCTATCGGTATAAAGCGRACTCGTAGATATAGCGTCGTATACGTTCGTATAAAGGAAGGAATATCGTTTATAGGAAGGGGGTTAAAGGAGGATTTTAGTAAAGGGGTAGCTCTTTATCGCTCTATAGGTATAACTACGTAAAGATAGGGGATAGAGCGTACGCTACTTAATAAGTATTATATAGATATATAAGCGTATAAATTTGTTATATAGTTATTATAGAGTTCTTATAAAGATTATAGCCGGAGCCGCTAATACTAGTAGGGATAGAAGTATATTAGCTATATATCCCCGGTATATATAGTCCTATTAGAGCATTAGAACGCAACGTAATCCTATTATACCGATAATCTATTACGACTTATCCGACTAATAATTAACCTCCGATATATCGCTATTACTACTTTCCGAGTTATCCTCTTTTAAAAGCTCTTTATTAATTAAACCCTCTAGTGCCTCCTTAAGCTCTTTACGCGAGCGGTTACTATCGTACTAATCGCGAAACGCCTATATAATATCTTCCGAGTCGACCTAAAATCCTTCCTACTTCCTACCGCTACGGGGAATTAATATCTTATATAGTATATCCTTAGGAACCTTATATAGCTCTTCTACGAGGTTCTCGTATACGATCTAGTACTACGGCTTTTATACGCTTAATACAAACTTATACGAGCTTAGTCGACCGAGCGGAAAGCCCTTTATCTTTAGAATACTTAAGTAGAGCTTAAGTATCTCCTATAGAATATACTCCTTAGAATCTATATATATTAGCAAATAATTTAAGATCTATTATATACGTTCGCTAGTATAAACGTACCCTACTTTACGTAAGCTTCTATAAGACTATTAAAGTAGGCCTTATCGATTAGATACCTAATACTTAGCCTTCCCTCCTTCTCTACCTAGTTATAGCGATAGCTTAGTATACTACCCCTTACGTGCGGTCTATTAGATTATCTTCGTACGGGGTGCTTGTTCTATATATATACGAACGAGGCTAGTTCTTTCCGCATAATAGGTATGTAGATATACTTTATAGCAATGCGGTTAGCCTTCTTTACTTTATAAAACTACCCCTTCTTCTTTAATATTATAAAGAAGCCCTATAATATTAAGATTAATTAGCCTAACTCGTATAATTAGATTCGGATATAACGGGAGCGTTACTAAAGTATATATAGATAATATACTCTATATACTTATATACTATACCTTAAACCTTCCTCGTATAAGCTAGCCCTACTATGCCTCGATACGGATATTAGTAGTACTTATTCTAAATACAAAGTAGCGGCGAAAGCGTACTTTACGCCTACGAATAATCCTTACGTATTAGTATTAAGCCTGCGCTATAAGGAGTGTCTCTTTACCCTTATTTATCCGAATAATACGAGGTACTCTCGTAAGCTTTTTATAAGCTTTCGCAAAGTTAGATAGTATAGATACTATTATACGGGCAGAGGGTCTAAGATAGGTATATAGAATAAACCGTATATCTGCATTAATAGTAGTATAGATCTAAAAGCTATAGTCCTTAAGTTTATAATATGTATCTATACTCTAGACTATATTAGGGCTAGGCGTAATATACTTCCTACGGCGACGTATAAACTTCGTAGCCCTATTATACGGGCTAGCGGGATAGACCTCGCGGGCTATCTCGTATAGTCGCTTCCTACGATGTAGTAGCATATTAGTAAACCCCTTTCTACCCTATAGATGTATATCGTATAAATATACTAACCTACTAAGCGTAAGCCGCATACGATCGGTTATACGGAAGTATATTTATAGTAATATTGTTCTATATGCTCTAAGGTTCGAGCGATTAATCTCCTTCTTTATAATCTTTTTATATTCCTCTTAACGCTTAAGGAACTCTCCTTCTCTTAGTCGTTTCTTAATACCTATACTCCGCCGAAGCCGTATAAAGGTATAGTACTTAATTATAAATCCCTCCTCGTTTAATTTATCTACGATATACGTATCTAGTAGAGCTTTAAGGTAGAAGAGTTCGGCTATTCGGATACGAAGGAGGGGATTATCGTAAAGACTGTTCTTTAACGACTATTAGGGTTCGCTACCGTTCTCTACGACGATTATACGGATAGTCCGTTYRGARGTATATAGCTATTATAAATARAGGAAGGTTTAAATRTCGGTAATACTCGTATTATTATTCTAGAGTTTAACGACTTTTAGATAAAGATTAGGAGGGATAGAAGGGGAGCGGCCTATTATATAGAATGTGCGTATAATAGGGTAGAGGGTAGACGGGAAAGGAATTAGCGTAGTAAGAGGTTATAAACCTTAGCGAAAACTTTRCTAAAAACTATAGGGTTAGGGTTAGGGTAGTATATTTCTTTAATATAGAGCGATAGTAATATAAATCGTAGGATATTTATAGGGACAAATTGTACGAACGTATAAAGTAAGGAGGAGTTATATTTTAGKTRTAGAAGCAAGTAATTATAAAATAGAAAATATATTTTAAAAGTAGTTTTTAAGTACTAYAA